GAGAGAAAAGAAAAGGACTCCAAATACAGCTTTGGAGGGTATCCCCACTACATATGGTAGGTGAAAGCAATATTTTATTATTTGTGTGCCATCATGCCTCAAATGGAGCATACTATTCTGAGTCAGCAAACAATTGTCACCTACCTCAGTGGTGCTGTCATCACAGCCCATACGCATGCCCAAATTAATAGCCCTTGGTGAAAGACTACAGTCATCATTGTGCAGAAGTTTTCCAATTATTTGGCAGCCACTGTGGCCACTTACCCCCATCACACAATTATATGACAGTGCCCCACCCCCGCCCCAGTTTATTCCTGATCTGGTACTAAAACACGCTTAGCACATGACTTTTTTAGTACACCTCGAAGTTTATATCTGCTTTGGTATTTGTAAAAGTCTATACTGAATAGTGCTGGAACAGACAGCCAAGACCCATGGAGGTCTACTTTTGTTGTTGTTCAGTTATGTCCGACTCTTCGTGAATCCATTTGGAGTTTTCTTGGCAAAGATGCTAGAGTGGTTTGCCATTTCCTTCTCCAGCTCATTTTACAAATGAGGAACTGAGTCAAACAGGGTTAGGTGACTTGGCCAGGGTCATACAGCTAGTAAGAGTTTGAGGCCAGATTTGAACTCAGGAAAATGAGTCTTCCTAACCTCAGGCCCAGTGCTCTATCCACCGCACCACCTAGCTGCTCACAAAGGTATATCTCTCAGGACAAAAAGGAAAAAGATTTTAAAAATCTCAGATGATTCTCCAAAATTTAACCTGCCACCCACAACAAAAGTATCGAGAGAGTCAGGTAATGATCAGGCCCTACCTTAAAAGTTACTAAGTAATAAAAGAATTACCACCTAGCAGAGAGGGCTCAATTGCATCATGAATTTACAATGGATCTGGTCAGCATAATAGCGGGATTGCCTCCAATGGTGTTCAGTGATGCAGAAGTAAAAGCAAACAAGGTGAATGGTGAGAGTGAGCCAGGGCATGAATAGAAAAAGAACACGTGAACAATACTGTCAAGTGTGGACGATGATGTAAAGGTGAATTAGTTAACTCTGTGGTTAAAACTGTGAAGGAAGGAGAGGTCAGAGAAGGAGTGGTTGAGAGAACAGAGATGGATGTAGGGCTCTAAAGTTGTGAGGACAAAGGAAAAAGAAAGCAGACAGAAGTAGGAAAGGACAGTAGATTACAATCAGAGAGGAGAATTTTTGAGTTTATAATCATGGAGGTAGCATAGTTACAAGTGATGATATAGGTCAAATTTGATCTTCCTGAATTCTCTCTGCCTTTGGAAATGAACAGGCAAATGGGCAAGGGGTTAGATTTCCATCTGCCTCTGCAAGGGAAAAGTTGATATATAAAAATTGGTTCACAGAGTTGGGAGTCAAATATGAGGGAAAACATTGTACTTCAATATTATAAGAATATATGATTTCATCCACTATGAAGGCATGTAAGCCAAGTATGTCTTAACAAAGACTTTGTGAGTTGCTGTTGCTGTAAAGTCCATCATATTGAGGTGAATCTGGTCATGAGCCTCTCATTATAATCTCAAATATAAATACTCTTTCTTTTATCTTTAGATGAATCTGTAATCTCATCAGTGAGGGTGTTCACCCCACAAGGACAAGTTTCAATGTATCCATATCTTCTTATATTTCTTGTCCATGTCTTTGCACAAATCCTCTATAGAGAATCTAACCAATTCACTGGAAGCCTTTGGTTCTTTCAATATTATGTGGAGACCAGTTCAGCACTTGGTTTGTTCATCTATCATCCTTGACTTTTGCTAATAACTAGCTTACTCCTTTTTGGGTCTTACATATGATATTTCTTCAGTCAATCAACAAGCATCTAGGTGATACAGTGGTTGAGTATTGTCCTAAAGATCTGAGTCCAAATCCATCCTCGGACACATTCTATCTGTGTGATCCTGGGCAAGTTACTTAATCATTACCTGCCTCAATTTCCTTAACTGTAAAATGAGAATAATAATAGTGTCTCCCTCCCAGGGATATTGTGAGGATCAAATGAAATTCTATTTGTAAAGAACCTGACACACTGTTGGTGTTCAATAAATGTTTCTTTCTTTATTGAGCACCTACCAAGTCCTTACCCCTTGGTCACAAAGTACCACTTCTTATGCCACACTCATTAGTAATGCAGCATGCTCCAGTTTACATCTACCCAAACCTTTCTATTGCCCTTTAGTTCATCTGAACCAAAGTTATTTTGAGATTGTGTTATTCCATTATTTGCAGCTATATAATATGACCAGAAGAATGTTGGTGTAAAGAAAGTTGGGTTTTTATTGCAGGTAACAACTTATAGTCCTTGAAAGCACCAAGCAATTTCCGAAATGTGATCTGAACCCTCTTCCCCCTCCTAATCATCCAATTGCAACTCCTTTTTGAAAGAATCTACTGAGGAGTTGACTCAATGCATTGCCTATCTAATTGTATGTCATAATGTAGTCAAGGCACACCCTTTACTCACCCTGTTTTTCCTGTGTGGATTAACAAACTGATCTCTTTTGAGTAGCTATGGACCTTACTCACTAAGGAGATCCAGTAGTAATCTAGGTAAATCTACTAGCAGGAACAGCTATAGAACTTTAACATCAACTAGGAATCCCTTTTCTATTTGCATTTCTACTTGAATTGAACAAGCATTTATTAAACACCTGCTAAGTCCAAAGCACTCTCCCGTTCTGGGAAGCAAAGACAAAAAAGAAACAGTCCTTGCCTTCTAGAAGTTTATGTTCTCCTGGGGAGGGAGGATATAGAATGTGTACACAAAAAAGTAGGTAGAAAGTAACTTCAAAAGAGAAAGCATACTAATAATTAGGATGATCAGGAAAGGTCTTTGAGAGGAGGCAGCAAATGAATTGTATTTGGAAAAAAGCTAGAGATTCTATGAGAGGACAGGATGAGGACAGATTGCTTTACTGACACAGGGACAACTTTCTTGTGCACAGCCATGGAATCAGGAAATAGAATGTTGTATACAAGACAGTTTAAATAGAATGAAGCATCCAGAAAGGGTAAATACATGGAGCATCCAGGAAGAAGAGTTATATGGAGTTGGAGGATACCAGAAAAAACACTTCTGTTGGACAAAATTATTCCCTTCAAAATATAGAGTATTTCCAAAAGTCTTAGAGCAGTTTTAAGCCACTAAAGCTTTGGAAACACCTATTAAGCACCTACTATGTAAGACACTTTACAATGTGATCCTGACAATAACCCTAGGAGGAAGGTGCTATTATTATTTTCATTCACAGTTGAGGAAATTGAGGCACTAAAGCTTAAAACTGCACTAAGACTCATGCCATGCCCTGTATAGTTGGTGATTGTATTTTTTTTAAAAATGAGATAATTCCTCAAAGCTCATTGCTTAAATCAACACTTCTTGAGGAAACATATACTCCATGGTACCTTTCTGGCTCCTATAAGCTGCTTCTTATAGAAGCTAAAGAAAATTAAAAACCTTAGCTTGAGAGAGGGACCCCTTACCTGATAGCCCTAGTCTCTGGGCTTTTGTTAATCTTCTGTAAGACGAAAGCGAGTTTAAGAAACACACAATTGGGCAAATAATGACACACGAACATAGAAAACAAAGGCCTTCCCTTACGGGATTCTCGTTGTACTTCTAAGTTTGTTCGAGAGTTATTCATCTTTCAGAGAATGAAACAGAAAGACCACTCTTCCGTCCCCTAGTACTCATGCCTGAAGGACCCTCGGGCTAAAGTGGCACCCTGTAATTCCAAGAGGCAGCACCATGCATTGTATAAATTTGCATCTATTTAGCCAGCTATTTACAGCACTCTTTACCGCCACCTGCAATAGGAAGTGCCCTAATAATGGTTCGGGAGCTGTTGGATAGGAAATGGGTAGCAGGTAGTTCGTTTTCTTCTTTAAGAAGAGAATTCAGTGACCTCTACTATGCAGTAAATAGGAAATAGCTATTAGGGTGAGAGAGAGGGGAAGAAAAGGTAGATAGAGGGGTCCTTATTAGTTCTGTTCCATTGTGCTTTTTTCACTATCAGTAGCCACGAGGAGAAACCCCATTAGGAAATGTTGTTTGTTTCTTTGCTTCACCAGGGTGCAGAAATGCCTTTAGGATTTGATGAAGGCCTGCGTTGCTATGGGAGGGGGGGAGGTAAAGAGAGGGGAAGGGCGGGGCTACCGTTGATGGGTTGAATTGGGTCTGAATTACAATCCCCTCGTACCAGGACCCTAGAGGCCAGTCCTGAGGCTGTCTCACAGCGTGAACATCTCCCTGGTGCAGACTCCTAGTGGCAATCGCTTTGGAACTGGAGGAGGTGGGCATCGAGGGAAGGAGGAAATGAGGCTCTTGAGTAATGCTTCCTTTCTATCTCCTGCTCGGGGTTCATCCAGAAACTCTCCGTCCTGTCCTACACACACACACACATACATACACAACAACCCTCTCTGGCACACACACCTCTTAGTGTGGCGTCCAGGGTCCATCTCCCTGAGACTGTAAGCTCTTTGAGGTCAGGAATTGCTTCTGACCTATTGCACTGTGTACTCCTGCTCAGCAGAAGAACAAGGCTGATGATTGGGGGGGGCAGGTTTTAACTGGGAGATGGGAGCAAGTAAGCGGGGAGTGGGGCTGCCTCTCGCTGCGAGAGGGACCAGACTTCTGGGAAGGGACAGGGAGCTGTCAATCAGCGAGGGAGCGAGCGCACCAGCACTGGGTGATGTCAGCGGATCAGCTGCTCGTTAACAAAGAAGGGGATATTTACAGGACAAAGTTGCAGCAGCAGCGAGGGCGGCTACAACCAGACTCCCGGAGCTTGGCAGCGGTCAAGAGAAAGTGGATGCAGAGGGCTGAGCTGCCCTTGGAGGAGCCCATAGCTGCGAAAGAAGGAAAAGACATTGGGAAAAAGGCTGGAAGGGGACGGCCGGCCAACTGCTCCTCCTCTTCCTCCTCCTCCTCCTCCAAACTCGCTGGGCTGAACCCAAGCTCTCGCTGAGCAGCCGCCGCGGCTCCGGGCTCGCTAAGGAGCAGTAGGAAAAGGGGGAGAAGGGAAGAAAGGAAGCAGCAGCGGCAGCTGAGCGGCCGCTCTCGGTCCCCGGCCCCCGACCCCCAGCCAGGAGGAGAGCCTGTGCTGGGCTGGGCTGCGCTCTCCGCCGCCATGGATAGCGACGACGAGATGGTGGAGGAGGCGGTGGAAGGTACCAGTGTTTTTCCGGGGCTGGTGGGGGTGGGGGATCGGGCACGGGGTGGGAAGGACGAAGTGGGGAGCTCGGAGTCTCCAGGATATCCAAGAGTTTTTTCCATCTCCACCTCCCCGCCACCAGCCCGGGGCTGAACTGGCCAGTTCAACCAGAGCAGGTAGAAAGAGCCAACTGCGGCCGCCTCGCATTTCGGAGCCGGTACTGGGCACTGCCCTGTCCGGGGACGCGGGGGACCCCAGACAGAGCACAGGCTGACAGAGAGGAGAACCGACAAGGGGAACCCCTCCTCTACCCTATAGCCTGGCTGGTCGGCCGCCTTCTCGTGCCTTCAGAGTTGCGAAACCTGCGACTGGCTGCCACCTCTCCCTCCTCCCCCCCTCCTCCCTGTGATTTTTGGGAGGGGGAAGGGAGGTAGGAGTTAGCAGCCCTAGCGAGCGCCTCTTTCCCCAGTTGCATCTGGGAAGCTGTTTTGTCCCGCACCTCGCCAGTGCCCGAGCCTGCCCCGTCCGGCTCTCGCTCCTGCTGGGCACCCCGAGGCTCTTGGGCTCCGCTATGATGCAAGATGTAGGAGCCGGCACGTGGTCGCCGCAGCCGCCACCGCTCCCCCAGGAGAGACTCGGAAGCACTGCGGGGGAAGCAGCAGCAGCTGCTGGAGGAGTGGGAGGAGGAGGGCAGCTGGGGCTTGGAGGAGCGCGGGGAAGAGCAGAGCGGGTCACTGCTGCCCGGGGGGCGAGCCGGGCCCAGGACCTCTAGTTTCTCCTCACCTTACCTCTGCTTTACCCAGAACACCAGCGGAAACTCAGATCAACCTGTCGGCCTCCCTTCCCAGCACTGAGCCATTGCCCTCTCTGGACACTTGCGCCGGACCCCGACCGCTACTGCTGCTACTGCAGCGGCTGCTGGGGGACAACTTTCTGAATTGCATACCTTTGGTTGTCCAGGATATCACAGGGCATAACTGGCAGCTTCCTCCTCCCAAGCTCGACAGCGCTCTCGCTCTCGCTCTCGCTCTCGCTCTCTGGTCATTCAATTCCTTGCATTTGTTGGCTCCTCCCCAGTCCCCTTTTGCCATTAAAAAAAAAAATCATTCAATTCAGTACTTTCTGATGGAAACTTTTAGAACTTGTCCAATGTCGAGAATTAGCAAATAGTCTTTAAACATCACGATTTTACTGGGCCTGTTCGTATAACCCACTCAAACTTTGGGGAAATTATTTCACGGTATGTTTAAAGTTTGCACTAAGGGGAAATAATTTTCATATGCTAGTGAAGTCTTTGGTGTCAATATAAATAATTCTAAGAACAAATCAGTTTAAGAGGGTCAATGTTTAAGACTAGATAATCCTTGAATTTCTTTTCTTTTCTTTTCTTTCCTTTCTTTTTCTTTCTTTTTAAACTATTGTGGCTCACCAGAGACCTTTAGAAAAGATTAGGTAGAACATTTGAAGTATTCTAAAACTTAGCCCAACCTGATCATAAAAATACTGTTGTATATTTGACTCGTCTTGTAACTTTCCATACCTCTCAAAAAAAATGTGGTTTTGTGTCAGAACTTTTTCCAGAAACACTACAGATCTAAAGTCTTCACCATTCATGTCCCATGTGAGCAGTCCATATTGGTGTAGTACATTATAAACATGAGGAAACTGGGACCAGAGAAACTGTGTTTTGCTCTGATAAATCTGTAACAAAACCCATTTAAAACTCGGGTCTTCTGGTGTTCCTTTCAGTACTACCCTATGGCTACCAATAAAAGCCAGTTTTGGGATTTGAGAGTCCTATGCCACTAAAATTTTATACACCTGTGTACAATATGTACAGCACTTATGTATATATCTACATATGTGTACACATAGTCACATATAGTAATTGTAGTGATGAAATGGTGAGTTCTTGCACTGCTGGAATGAAAATGAATAAGAATCTTTAAAAAAAACAGTAAAATATCACTAAAGTAAAAGGCCTAATATTTCAATATTAAAAAATAAAGTTTTACATTTCGAAGGCTAGTGTGACCTTAATTCTGAGAACTGAAATCCACATTAGGACATCTTCATCTTAGAAACTTTAGAAATGTAAAGCTATAGTGTATTTAACCCTCTTCTTCCCTCTCTCCACCCCCAGCCCCCAAGATTCTGACCTTGGCTGTCTTCCTAATAGTCTAAAAATCAGCTTAAAGGTGGAGATGGTGTTGTGTTAGGATTGCATACTAGAATAACTTAATCACAGAAGCTGCATGGGACTTAGGCAAGCCTGTACTGATATATAGGACAGCTAGAACCTTCTAGGTTATAAACTCTCTGGAGATGGGTCAATTGCCCAGGTAATGCTTGTATACATGTGCAAGTCTTGTGATATGCACATATATCTGCTGAATATCGAGCAAGATAATTATTCAAAATGCTTTCACAACCTTAAATCATTCTATAATATTATCATACCCACCCGTGATATGAATTGGCCTTTTTGTTTTGTGTGCTTTACTTCTGTACATTAAAACCTATATGGGGTCATGATATTGACTAATATTCTCTTCCTATAGATTATAGAAGAACAATTCTTGAGTAACTTTATGATTTTTGTATACCACCCTATCCCCTAAAATGGGATCTTCCATTCTCCAAAGACTCATTGCTACAATTCCCCCTCCCCTTCGGTTTTATGCAGTTGACTATACATTTGAAAGTACAGTCTAGGTTAAATGTTTACAATAACTTCTTTCTTTTTAATGCTTGTCTGGCTCAAGCATTGTAGTTGGAGTAAAAAAAGACCTGGATTCAAATTCCTATTTTATTGCTTACTACCTCTGTGAGCTTGGACAAGTCACATACCCTCTCTGAGCCTCAGTTTCCTCATTTGCAAAATGAGGGGTTAGCCTAGATGCTTTAGCTGTACATCTCTGCTCTCATTGATATGGATCCTCCCTTTCTATCACCTCTAAGTGTGGTTCTTGTCCGTGCCCCATCTTAGAGGGGCCACCTCTTAGGTTGTTAAATATATATAACAGAGCATCAAATGAAACAGCATTTCTCCCTTCCTGTACAGATGCTAGCTTGATAGACTTTCTTATTGATGTGTCAAGCAGGTCTGCCTTTAGAATAGCTGGCCTGACATTTCTCTATGTGTAATCTATTAATATGTGATTTTTTTCAACTGTCAGCATTTTTTAAAAGGGTTACTGTGGATCATTTCTTTTAGTAGGAAAGATGGTTAAGACTCTTAGAGTACCAGTTAAAGCTCAGCAGTACTTATCTTTTTTTTTAATAGGAATTTGTTTCACAGTGGTGTTTTTCTGTCTTTTCCCAACTTGAGACAAAATGCCCTTTTGTGCTGTTGTACATTTATTTTCCCTCCATCACAATGCAGTATCTTAGTTTCTAATTTGAGGAAGGATCACTGGGTCATAGATTTAGAGCTAATTACGAGAGACCTTACATATCTCCTAGTTCAACTCACTCATTTTGCACTGGATGAAATTAAGGCTCAGAGAAGTGCTTTGTCCAAGGTCATAAGCAGGAAATGGTAAAGCCAGGCCCTCCATCTCAAATCCAGTACTCCAACTAATGCAGCACAGCTATTTCCCATGGGTAGGCAGTAGAGGGTGAAATTATGAGGACACTTGTTATGTTCATGGCTCTTTGGGGACCAACAAAGACAGCACACATAATACTAAAAGAGTGGTGGGTTAAGTCCTACATGTGGATTCAAGTATACTTTTGCCTCTGATACTTGTCCGCTTTGTGACCCTCAGCTTCCTAATCTTTAAAATGAATGTAATAGTAGCTGTGGTACTTAACTCACTGGCCAGTTGAAATATTGACTTTGCAAAGCTTAAAGCAGGGAACCTCTAGGCCACAGATTCCCCACCCCAGGCTTAAAGCTTAATACTAATTCTAGCTTTTATTACACCTATCTAGTGGCTGTTTTAAGGTAGGGTCCAGGAAGGGTCAGAGTTTCATACAGTGACAGCTGGAATGGAATTTGGAGTTCATCTAGCCCCCCCCACATACACATACACAGACACACACTCTTATTTTATGGATGAGAAACAATGGTTCAGAAGTTATCTCTTTTTTTAATATTTCAATTTTTCTTCAATTACATATGAAAACAATTTTAACATTTGGTCTTTAAAAAACAATTTAAATTTTGAGTTCCAAATTCTTTCCTTCGCTCTCTCCCTCTCTTCCCTTGAGAAGGCAAGGAATTTTATTTAAATTATACATGTGTAGTCATGCAAAACTTTTTTAACTTGTTTAATTTTTTCCCCCAGAGGTTACCTTTTGTCTGAGGTCACACAGTTAACGTGTCAAAGTTAGGCTTTAAATCCAGTCTTTTGCCTCCCAACCTAGTATTTACCCCCCCCACACACACACTATAACACACATGTAGTGTCATTTTTCTGTAATGATGGTAAACCTGTAATTAATCATGGCCCATGGGAATGCAAAGTTCATTTATGCAACAAATAAATTATTGTATTTTGTATTATCCTGGGATCTGTGGAGGGTATAAATAGAAACAAGAAGCCATTCATGTCTTCAAGAAGTTTATGAGATGTTAAAGGTCATAGGATCCTGGGATTCAAAGTAAGAGGTTCAACCTCTTCATTTTGTACATGAGGAGAATAAGGCCCAAAGAGCATCATAGGATCACTGATTTATAAGTGAAAGGAACCTTAAAGGTGATCTCATTGAACCCCCCCCCCCATTTTTCAGATTAGGAAACTGAGATGTAACTTGCTCAAAAGACCACACAGTAAATAACAGAGACAGAATGTGAACACATCTTTTGACCCCAAATCCAGTACTCTTTGCCTAAGTAAGCCCAGGCTAAAATGTACTAAGTAATTCTGAAGGATTTGTAGTGAAAAATGCTAGTTACCTCCAGAGAGAGAAGTGAGAGAGCCTGAGTGCAGATTGAAGCATAATTTTTTTCACTCTAATTTTGTTGCCTTTTTTTTTTTTTGCAACATGGCTAATGTGGAAATGTGTTTT